ACACACAAAATAAATAAACAACCCAGTTATGAAAAAGATTATAATAGAAAATATAATTTCTCACTATTTTATACCTATAGTAGAGCAAGAGCCAAGTCTGACTATTTTAAGTTATTACAGAAGAATAATGTATGCCTTATTAAGTACTCCAAAAATTAGATAAGATATGGATTAATTACAGAACAATCTTACCAAACAAAAATGTTTATCTTGCTTATATAAATTGTATTTATGATAATTGTGTTTTAACTTTACAATGCAATTACTTTTTAAAAATACATTTTCAAAACTACTGGATTTATAATATTTATGGCAGAAAAAAAAATCACCAACAAAATTGCTGCTAATTTTCCTCTTTTTATTGTGACCTCTATTATACACACACACACACTGCGGACTCCTGGATAGAGATAGTAATTTTGTATCAGTAGTGTCCATCAGGTGCATGTACACTGCTCAACAGAAAAGGCAGCGGCCCTCTAGTAACACCTGAGAGAGGCATGGTTCACCCGTCCTGTCCTTTGCTAGGCTCTCTTTCAAACAAAGTCTTTCATTATCCTAATGAATCTCCCAATCTCTGCTCTAGCAATATAACTTTCCAGGGGTTTCTCATGTCTTTTCCCCTACCAGATAAAGAAATTTAAATTATATTAATAAACTTATAATGACCCCCAAAGCCCTACAGAGGTTCTATCTACCTCTGGCTCCTTTCTATGTTCTGACCTCTCCTTATCCCACTGCCTTCAATCAGAGTGCTCTGAAGAGCATCGTGTTATCTTGTCCCTCTGACTCAGGCCCTGGAACCCCAAACACCCAATGAGTTAACAAAGCTTTCTTTACCACTGTTTTAAATAACAATCCTGACATCTGCGCGAAACGCTATATTTTTTCTGATGGTACTTATCATCATCATTGTATAATACACTCAGTTCTTTGCTCACTTCAGTACTATGAAGGAAGAGACTATTTTGGTCTATTCTGTTCAGTGCTCTGTTTTTAGTATTACAACAATGCCTAGCTTTTATTAACGTTCCATAAATAGTTGTGAAATAAACACATAATTCTATGTTTGGTAAGTAATGACGACATAACAAATGATTACTCACTGAGTATTAAAAACACAAAACTATACAGTATCAAACACACAGAGTACAGAAAGCTGTTGCTGTCACAAAGCCTAGACCAGCAATTCTCAACCTGTGGGTCACAACCCCTTTGGGGGTCACGTATCAGATATCCTGCCTATTAGATATTTACACTGCAATTCATAACAGTAAAATTACACTTATGAAGTAGCATCAAAATAATTTTATGTTGGGGTTCACCACACATGAGGAACTGTATTAAAGAGTCACAGCATGAGGAAGGTTGAGAACTACTGGCCTAGACAGAGAAAAAGAACTAAAATACATGGATAATTAGCTTAATAACAGAGGGCACTCGGTGTGACTATTAACAAATTAGGTTTATTTGTAAATGACTCATGAAATTAACCTGGATATTTCAGCTTGCACCTAGCATGTAATTAAATGCAGAAATGAATAACATATATTGTTTCCTTCAAGGTCAGCGGGGAAAAGTGACTAGGCTGCAGTAGTAGAAAGAGTCTAAGGACAAGTTTTTTCTCAACACCAACTGGGAAGGGACACCTCAATTAAAGAATTGCCTTTCCCAATGAAACTGGCCCCCATAGGCTCTTAGAGAGTGGCACTCTTAAGAGGTGTGGCCTTGTTAAAATAAGTGTGGCCATGTTGGAGAAAATGTGTCACTGGGGTGGGCTTTGAGATTTCAAATGTTCAAGGTAGGCCCGGTGTCACTCTTTCTTCTTGCTGCCTGATGATTCAGATGTAGAACTCTTGGCTTCTTCTCCAGTATCATGTCTGCCATTATGAGAGACTATAAGAGTTGTCAAGGTCATGGTGTCTTCTCACAGCAATAAACACTAACTAAGACAGCCTTCATCAGATGGCGGATGTGGGAGGATCCAGCTATTGTGGGTACTGCTGCTCTGGCAGGTGGTCCTGTTTGTGTAAGGAAGCCACTGAGCAGGCAATTGATAGGAAGCCAGGAAGCAGCCCTGCTCCACAGTTTTTGTTTCAGGTCCTGCTCCCAGTTTCTGGCCTACAGTCTCTGTCCTGACTTCCCTCAGTGATGGACTGGAACCTGTGAACCAAATAAACCCTTCCCTCCTCCAAGCTGTTTTTGGTCAATGTTTTGTCACAACCAAAAAGCAAAGTAGGACAGCATCAGATAAGGTTCCAAGAGTGTTTTGTAGACATAATAGTGTGCATTGGCAGCAAATATACAAAAAGGATTTGATGAGGCAGCACAGACATGTGAGAAACCTCTGTCAAACAGAATGAAGGGCATTCAGTGATGAGTGAGGGTGCCCAGAGAGGACAGGATAGCCCTAATAAAACTAGAGCCTAACCTTCTAAGCAGAGGCCTCAGGTGTGAGCAAAAACCTCACAATAGGCTGCTGCCAGGCCTGAATCTCAGCACATCAAACCCCTGGGGTTCCCGTCACTGCTGCTAACAGTTCACGCTAGCAACTTTCTGTGGAACCAACAGAAACTACATCCTATTCTTGCTCTATTCCTCTCCCAGTCCCTCCAACATAACTAGTCACCAAAGACTTAGACAAGGAAAACAGGGAAGCAAAGCCCAGTTGCCTGACTCAAGGCAAGAAAAATGCTAAGTTGCCATTTCTGTTCCTAAGTTTCCTGCTAGATCCAAGAAGGTAGTAGCTATCCCTATGAAATCATATCTTCGTACAAGTCTACCCCTGCTTCCTAATCCTGCTTCATTCACTGTCTTGTAAGTAACATTAAAACGAAGACCCTTAGTTACTACTTGCAGAAGAGCCCTTATTCTCACAATCTGATTCTAGAAAAAAATGGGACCAAGGCAAAGCCACAGAAAACAATCAATATTCACAAAAAAAAACTATTTCTAAGAAAAATAGTTCCACAAGGAAAGTACTGGAAGAAGAGTTAGTCTGATGGGTGAGGGTCGGTGGCACCTGAGAGATGACCTCAGAGGTGGATCTAACTTACACACACACATTTACATAGACAGCAACATAAAGGGCTTTTATTACCCAGAACAACATCTGTTCAGAAACACGAACAGAATTACAATGAACTACAACAGAACTCTAAAACTTTTTCTTATATTCTGGTCCCTGAACGTCTCTGTTGGAAAAAAGAAAGATAAGATTCAACAGAATCCCCAAGTGTTTATAATACTAAGTTGGTTTTCTAAGTTAGTCAGATTCTGTACTTCAGTAGCTTTATTAGAGTCGGTAGCAGACTGCTGGAGTTGGAAATGCATCCAAAAATGGCAACATCTGGTTTTCATCTATTCTTATGAGACTCAGTGTTTTCAAAGGAAAATAAGATACTGAGTCCTGGTTTATAAAAATAAAGAATATAGTGTCTGGATTGTAAAATAAAGAGGACAATGTGAAAACAAGAAGGCTGGTATGAAAGAAATGATCACAGTCCAGGAAAGAGCTTACACAACTATATGCACTCAGTTTCAGGCTGTGAGAAACAACCATCTACATATGTACTTGTTTTATACTCTTGATATCTCAGGCAAGCTTCTCAAGTACTTGTTTCCTTTCAAAATTCAAACTTGCCAAAAATGTCTATAAATAAAAATGAATATCTTCATATAATCAGTAAGAATATTCATGTTGCGTGCCTATATAGACAGACAGGTAGTATGGAAACACTAGCAATAGACTGGTTTTCTTTTTCACTGGTCGTCTTCCCAGGCATTAAAATGTAGAGCTATCAAAAATTTAAATATGTCTAGCTGCAGATTCAGTGGTCCCACTGAAAGAAAATTCTTCCACATACAAAAATGGAAAGATTCAATTGGTCAGACAATCATAATACAACACCACACTAGATCCATAAATCTAGGTAATCTAACTATTAAAACTTTCTCCTCCTCAATTTTATGCCGGTGAGAGGCAGCCAAAGTACTCTCCATCGAACGCTAGGACAGAACTTGAGAAGGGAGTTTCTACTATCAACTTTGTTTAGAAGATACTCTAGATTTTACTCCTTTATTCAAGAGGCACAATTTGCATGACAAGTAGGGGGTGAGGTATGGTATCTTCCATAGAAGATAAACCAAAGAACACTAAGAAGGGGCTGGGATGCATAATCAAAATACATTGTATGCATGCATAAAATTTTCTAAGAATAAAAATACTATTATTTCTTAAAAATAGAAATCATTAACAGTTGGACTTATGATTGGGCTCCTTCCTTACACACAAAGGTTCAGAGCTGATTCTCCTTCTTCATGTAGGTCAGAGGTGCCGCCCTGATTCTCATGTTAAAATCTATGACAGTAACAGGAAGCTCAAGAGCATATCACTCTGATCCTCATATGCAGAAGGTCTGATTCAGCATGGCCAGCACTGGTTTTCACAGGCACTGTGACATAGTGATTGCAATGCAGGTCCAGTGCTGGAATACTCAAAATACCTGACTATCATCAGTAAGAGAGCTATTTGTATTGGGGACAGAAGAACTTAAAAGAACATAAAATTTACAATTCCAGTCTTCAAGTGCATATATTAAAAATATTCATTTTTTTCAAAATAAGAAAGTTAAACAAGAAACTATGGAGAGTCAGACCATATCATAGAAGACCATACACTAATATACTGCTTCGAATATGAAGCAATGATTTATCCGACAATAAGAATTCTTAGCCTGTGCTCTAAGAAATTTCAGGAAATCTTGAGTTCTCAAAAACCATACAACCAATGTTCATGAAGATATGGATAACATGAAAAATACCCCACAGCTTTCACCAGTTCTCGTGCCGCATGAATATTCAATTGAAGAGCCATTATACTTTTTATTTGTCTACTGGAAACAGCAGTGTAGAAACTGCTTCTTACAAAGCATAACTCAAACACAGAGAAAAATGTCCACAGTGTTGGGTTCACTCTCAACAACAAAATTTTAACTTACCTTTGCAGAGTCATATTCAGGGAGCCAGTACAACCCTTAATCTTGTTCTGGGCTTCAAGATGAGTCATTCCATTTGCACTGATGCCATCAATGCTGAGGACCACATCGCCTATCCTGACATGTGCCTGTGACGCCTTGCCACCATCTTTCAGCTACAATAAACACATCAAAAAAAAAAAAATCACTGCTTAAAGCACACAAACACTAATGCAGATAAAATTATACTTTTTCATGCAAAAAGTGCATTAACATAGTATTAGAGCAATATAAAATTATCTTGCTTGATAAGAGGTTAAAATTGAAGTGATTTTCATGATTTTTTAAATTCCTTCTAAGAAACAAATAATATTCTAAAAGATGGCCTCTGATAATGCTTCATTTATTTAATATACAACAGCAGTGTGTGATTACTAAGAAACAGAAAGAGAGGCAGCATCCATGAAAAATTCACATTTTAGCTAAAGAAAACGAATAGAACCTAAAACAAAGTTTATTATTTTAAAAAATGTTTTAAACCTCTTTAAACTGTTGTATTTCTGTTTGCACCCAACATGAAAGGAGGATCTTGGCACCCCTCCTCCCAAGTCCAGCTTACATCCGCGTTTGGGGATTAACTTCTTTAGATCGCAGGCCCAGTGATCTTTCACACTGGGTGTGCCTCCTGCTGTAGGCATCCAACAGGAAGCAAAGGAAGGCACAGATTTGAGACTTGCCAGACTTTTTTTGTGTATCAGAGTCCTTAACCCCCAGTGTTTCCTTGGTTACTCAAGAGAAATAGCTGAATGTTCACATCATTTAGTTTGATCTGCTTCAAGCTACAAATACATGTGTGTAATTGCCTCAGGAAAGCAAATACAAAATCACAATATGTAGAAAAACAAAGTGAAAAAGAAAATTTTAGTAATAAATACTAAGTAAAACAACAAAGAAAGAAAACAAACTCCTAGTTTACCAAATTAGAACTGAGTGCTATATCATATAATTTGGGGCAAAGGAATAAATGCAATCTATTGTATCCATTTAGATTTTCAGTAATATCAGTTGTCAAATTCCTTCCTTAACGCAGACCAATCCCAAAACACAAAAATGATCATTTATACCTAAAATTCAAGGAAACAGTGCTGGGCGATAGACTGACAACAGTACTACTGTTTCATCCCATCACAGACTTTCACAAAACCATGCATTCTCCCTATAACTAACATGAGCTCACCACATTAAGCAATATGTAATCTGGTGTAAAAGAGTTTCTTGTTGTTAACCTCAATATCACTGAAAGCATTTACTCTAATAGCAGAAAACACATGAACTGTTCCTCTCTACTGCATAAAGCTACATTACTGAAACTGTGAAGCACATTTATAAAAGAAATAGTTCCTGAATCCAATCATGCCATCACTTTGTATGTGATTTGGGGAAGGTCAATTCACTCATTTAAAGGACTGTTACAATGACTGCATGAGATGACAACTCAATAAATGCTAGCTGTTATTGAGATTGCTATCATAAGAAATGTGGAGGTTACCCATAAGGTCTTCTCCATCCTACACAGTTTTTACTGTTCATCTATCTGCACACTACCTTTACAAAGTTATAGGTCTCATCACAAAATGAGAATTATTAAAATAAGGAAATGCGTTAAAATTCAGAGTCTAGATAATGAGGGCAACCATAAACTAAACAATTCATCCTAGACTTTATTCTGCACAAGGGGGGCAAGCCTGCAAGTAAAATGAACCAGAAACAGAACACATCTCAATTACCTCAGCCACCTCTTTAGCAGAAGCCTTAACACCGAAACAGTGAAGCCTGTGTCACTTGTTCTAAATACTACGCTAATCAGAAGCAACTTAAATATTGTCTTTCCAGCACTTATAAAAGGTAAAACAGGATGCAGAAAGAATTTAACCACACCACAGATAGAGTCAAAAAATGAACTGTCGTGCTCCTTGGTTCCATATGCCTACTATCTTATGATGAGATCCCAACATACCCTCAAAATATTCACAACTGACTTCTCAGCATTCTCTCTCAGAATTGCCTTTATCTTGTCCTTACCTTCAAATCATGGAACACTGAAATCTCATATAGCGTCATGAATTCTGCCTTTCTTGAATACCACATGTAGGAAAGAAGTAAATGTTCTGCCAGTCCTATTTTCCTCCTTGTCTGACCATGCCCTGATCATCCTTCATCTTGCTCTTACCTATTGTCTAATTGCCTACATGAAAGTTTTCAACTCAGTCTTCCTATGTTTTCATCTCCCTTTCCTCCAGTCACATTTCTAAAACAGTGGTTGCTGAAGCTTAAATATGGTATAAATCTGCCCCCAAAGATTTACTTACTGAGGCTTAATCTCCATTGTGAGGTGCCTAAGAAACTTATTCTGACTTTGATGTTTGGAGCCAAGCCCTTTGCGAATGGTATCCAATATGGTAATTACGAGAGGGCTCGCAAAATAAAATCCTGATGGCTGTTATAAAAAGAACAGAAATGGAACTTGCTCTGCCACCCCTGCTTCCCCAAATGGCATCTTCTCTGCATACCATGAGGCTCTGTCAAAAAGAATGCCAACACAAGGCATGGTCCTTCAACTCTGGACCTCCAGAATGGCGAGCCAAAATTAAATTGCTCTCTGTACAGCTAGCACACTCTTACTGCACTACTGGCAAGAGAAAAAGGAACTGTCAAGTTCTGGAGGGTAACTAAGACCCCCGATAACACCCTGCAATGTTTGAGACCTCAATGGCCAACAACTCAAAAAGTTACTCACTTCTGGAACTAGGTCTTTATTTGTTAGCCTCTGTTGTGTCTAGTAAGGCCCATTATAGGATAATTCTATTTTAATTCCTTATCTATGTGAATGGATATTTTTTAGGATGTTTCTACAATAGTAGGCTTTCATATTACTTCTTTGAAAAATCTTTAGTGTTATTTATCCCTCCCAGTTTCCATCTTCTAATTTGCCTTCCCCTCCCTACCTCTAATTCATCCCTGCTGTTCTATATTTTCAATTAAGCCTTTATACTAGTGCCTTCTATTAACCTCTCCCTTGAAAGAACCTCCCCTGTGGCTCCTTAGTAATTTCCTGATGTTTGTAAGTATTCCAAATGAAAAGCACATATGTAAAGAGTCAAAGTTAACACCCATAAATGAAAGAAAACATACAATGTTTGTGTTTCTTGGCCTGGGTTATCTCAATCATGACTTTCTCCAACCCCATCTACTGACCTGCTAATTTTTTTCTTAATAGCTGAGTAATAAGTGTAAATATACCATATTTTCATTTTCTATTCATCATTTGATGAACATCTAGGCTGTGTGACAGTAAGACCTACTGCTGACACCATATACTCAAGTAACAGAACATGGAGAAATAAAGTTGGAACTTACCTAGAAGCTTCATTCCTTCTGGTGAGCTTTCATAGTGCTATAAAATGCTATCCAAACAACTCTAAAAGTTACCCATTTCTGGAAGTAGGTCTTTTCTTTATTTGTTAGCCTCTATTGTGGCCCCATTACACCCAAGAAGAAAAGACATCGTCAGTCTTTCCCAGCTGTGAGCCTTGTGAGCTACAACAACGGCCAGCCTGGCAAGATATAGCTACTAGTGCAACAGTGGCACAAATGTCCAGAGAGTAACCAACCACTTCATGATCTCATTTAAGGCCTCCTCCACAAAATAAAAACACACCTCATTATTGGACCAAGAATTTATCTGGGCAAATTACACACCCTGGGAGAGAACACACTATTATTCTACCAAATGAACACAGAAGTAAACCAATTCCTAATGACTTAGCATTATTCTCACAGATGATAGGTTCTCTTAAACTTCCTCAGAGAAGCTTCTGCATGCAGTATATAATAATCAATGCAGAGACCCACAACTGGCAAAGGTGCAGAGAATGTCTAGTCCTTAAGGAAACCTAGATACAGCACCCCTCCTCCAAGGGCTCAGACATCATTGCAGAAAAGGAGGAGAAAGTATAAGAGCTGGAGGCTAGAGAGCTGTAATTAATAGTGTCTTCTAGGCACAGCAAGGTACTGAACATAGGAAGTTATAGTGGTTGTTACAGCATGCACAAGACATGTTCAAGCCTAACCTAACATGGAGAGAGGAGCTGGGCATAATTAATGAATCTAAAGGGTTATAAAAAGGCTACATTAATTTTGTATGCAGTGGTATATTCGTTACTTTTCTAGCTGCTGTGACAAAATCCATGACAGAAACAACTAAAAGGAAGGTGGTTTCTTTTCTCTTGAATTAAAAACAAAACAAAACACATTTTCCTTTTGATTCACATTTTCAGAGATTTTAAGTTCACTGTGACAGAAAATACATAATTTAGTGGCCCAAACCATACTGCACAACTATGAAGCACTCTCTTGCTCACATTACATTAATCAGAAAGCAGATAGACCACAATCAGTCTAGTTTAACCTTCAAAGTGCTGGCCCTAATGAGATACTTCAACTTTGAGGCTTTAAGAGGCTTTGTAACCTTTTGCCGTTGAAATAGGAGCAGCAACAGAAGATAAGCATTCAGAACATAAGGCCATGTTTTGGAGTAAAACTGTAACAAATGGAAAATGTCTAATGAACAAAATTTAAGACTTGTCAATAGGTAGCAGTCACATTACTAAATATCCTACATGAGCTTCATTCATCCCAAGATGTACTTCTGTAAGGCAGTCATTCATCAGAAAGGTCCAATTTTAATTGAGTAGTATATAGAATTACTCTAAACAGTGAATAAACAAGGAGAGACTACAGGGTACCTTACTTTTTATATAGCTTATCATTTACAACCCGTGGAAGTCTAAATTGCTGCACTTGTTTGAAGCAGTAATTATTTTGTTACCAGTGTATCTTGTACATGTTACACAGCAGTCCCCAATCCTTTGTAAATGCAGGATGTGTAGGAGAGAAACAGCCATCAGAGGTTCCTGAATCAAGTTCAGTATAAATTAAACTAATGACAAAGAAATGTTACCCTTTAATCTTTCATTGTATCTGTCAACTTTGTTAACTAATTTTCTACAGACTTAATTGTAGCTACACATTTCTGTAAAAATTCTTAACTATCAGGCTTCACTGAGGTTGCAAGCAAATATGGCTACACACATTGGGACTAGCTCTGAACTCAATT